TGAAACCAAGAGGAAATTAAATTCAATTCAAAAATTAGCAAGTACATCATCACCTTATCTACCGGTGCCATCTCAAATTTTGTGATTATCGCTCAACGAATCTAATAGGGTAGTCTGCCAATTTGACTAGTTCATCAAGATTCGAATTAAAAGTAAAGAGCTGCGTTATAAAGATTTTCTTGTCCGCATAAAAACTTTCCTGTACCTCATGAGTGTGACGTCATATCCTTCGGCGTCAGCTGATCTACTGATCTACTGATCTATTTACCTATTGTTTTTGGTTTTTGCTTTGATACTGTACCATTTGATTCAACTGGCTTGGCTTCTGAAAGGCGGGGCTTCGTGACCTAATTACGACTAGGTAATGATCAGAGAGCACTCGCGTGAAAGAGACGCAGGAGCGTCGCGGGCGCGAACGGCCTCAATTAGTCACAAAGCTTCGCCTTCCAGAAGCCAAGCCAGTTGAATCAAAGGTTACAGAACGAAATAATTCTTCTTGAGTAAAATAATTGATTAAAAAATTTTTTGAGAAAATTTGTTCATGCGTCGATTATCTGTTTATCACATATGCACATAGTTGCAGGCTTTATCACGAGTTTTATCGAATTTAATAACACTTGTTTACACTTTTCTCCATATTTCCATAACCGAAAACATGCTCATAACTTTCCAATTACATTTGAAAATATGAGCATGTTTTCAATTACGAAAAATCTGTTTGGCCCATATTTACATACCAACCATACTTCATGATATTTTAAGAGCAGCAAAAAGTTCTTAGACCGGCCTCGTTAAAGGTCAAACTATCCCAAGCTGCGCTCCCATTCACATCATCCGTGACAGTTTTGTTGTGATTACTGTAAATTGAGCAATTTTCTCCTCTTTTGACATACATTTCTGACAATTATAGCAATTTTTGAGGTGCTTTTGTTGAAAAAAAAAACATGAAACACACCAAATGACCTTTGAATGTCTATCCTAGTCTATGTATCTGCACGGTTCTTTCTTCTCCATATGAAAAGTCTAAAAAATTTTTCATGAATCTACTTGAGCCCTGTCTACTATTTACTATATTGAGATTGTCTGAAACTCATTATTGGAGTCTAAGTAAAGAATTTGTAGCTAGGAAATAATACCTAATAGGGCATATTTTGTCTGCAGTGTGGGCACAAAAAAGAACATTTCAAAAAAAAATAATATTAGATTTCGTTGCATTAGAATTTGATATATATATTTTGAGAACGAAGAAGGGGGAGGTGGGATAAAGTAGCAGTCCAAAAAGTTATTTTTTTGATTCTTTCGAATATTCACAGCTTTTTCCCCTATGGCGTTTTTCATCTGTCTTGTGATGTTGTTATGTCAACACTCAGGCTCGAAATCCAAATGGAATTAAACCACGCCCACTTCACTTTCAAGCACATCTGTCTGTCGACAGAAATCTATGTTTGCGCATATAGCGTTTGTTTTGCATGTAAAACGATACTCCGCACTTAGCATGATTTGTTCTCGAGAAATATGTGCATGTACTTGATATGTCTAGTTTCAAGGTTTTTGATCTACTATGATCATATCACCGTATTACGGTAGGTTACTGTTATACGGTAAGCTATCGCACCCCATATGGTAGCATACCGGCTTTCCTGCAGGATTTGTTGCAGCGACATGTCTTGACACGTCAAAGAATAAAAAAGGAAGAAAGATTGTTGTTGACATGTTGGCTCTCGTTCGCAGCATGTTTGAAAGAAATGGAACGTGCTAAGTCTTGTGAAAACGTGAATGCACATGCTATCTTTGTGTTTACAAATGTATAAAACATGCGAATTGATTTATTCACAAGACAAAATTGTAACATGAGCAGTTACTGATTGTAAGTGCTTTAGCGTCACTACCATTCCATGTAGAAATTGATTATTTTTACTGCTACAGCAATAATGGATATTAATTGTATACTAGCTGGCTTGCCCGGCTCCGCCGGGCCTGCCAGCTAGACCCGTGTACGTATGTTCCGAATAGAAATTTTTATCTCTGAACCGATTGGGACCGAACTTTGCACACATACACTTCGGGGCAGGGAGCGTGTCACAGCCCACTTTTCGTTATCGATCGATGTCGATTTTACCGATTTTTTGCAAAATTCGAGCTAAAGGGCTGGGATTTGGCAGAGGGGGGTAATCGAGCATGCTGATCACCCCTTCGGGCTGGGAGCTAAAGGGCTGGGATTTGGCAGAGGGGGGTAATCGAGCATGCTGATCACCCCTTCGGGGTGATCAGCATGCTCGATTACCCCCCTCTGCCAAATCCCAGCCCTCTAGCTCGAATTTTGCAAAAAATCAATAAAATCGATATCGATCGATAACGAAAAGTAGCCTATGACACGCTCCCTGCCCTGAAGTATATGTGTGCCAAGTTTGGTCCCGATCGGTTCAGAAATAAAAATTTGTATTCGGAACATACGTACATACATACAGACAGACAGACATACAGACAGACATACAGACAGACAGACAAACAGACATTCAGCTTTATATATAAGATGAGACCACTTTTCACTTGTTTTCTCGAATAATTACCCCATAAAATAATTCACAATAAATTTATATACCTGAGAATGTCATTATGTTGCAGTATTTCGGATTTCCCCATAAACACTAGTAAACAACCAATGAGGCAATCGATACACTGATCTCAATCGATATTGATTGAAATGCTAAAAATTTCCAGTTTCAAATTTCAGTGAAAAATATTTTTGTAATTATCATGTTGGCTTTGAAGAATGGATCTAATTCCTTTACATTCATCTGTTTATTGTTTTTTTTCTTTTCAACCATTTGATTTTTTTTGAAATCTTGATTTTCGTATAAATTGCTTAGCTTTTGCATTTGAGATAGGAGCCTAGGAGAGCTTTTCAAAAATGTATGAGAAATTTTATTTTCTGAACCAGCTTTTTGCAGCCTAGCAGATCTTCCACACCCTGCCCCCTCCCCCCCCCCCCTCTCCCCGTCACCTCCTAGCGTATTGATTTGCGTATTGATCTATACAAGCACTAGTCTTTGTGCTTCTCTTTGCAGGCTGCACTAATCTAGATGAGACCATTGTCTCGTTTTTGCACCTGCAGTTACATTATTATAGTCAATATAGTTATAGGGAGTTAGTTATTAGTTATTATAGTTATAGGGAGTATTCAAAAGTAGGTAGTTTGAAGTATAGTTTATTTTGGAATTTTAGAGGGTACTTTGAGCAGAAGGACAGGGGGTCCCGCAACACGATCTGCACAGGCTGGTTTGCACACCTGCACATCTCAGTGTTAGTAGGGGGTGGGAGGGGGGTTGCATGGGTGGTGGTGCGTGTAAATCTCTCTTTCACACCCTTCGTACTCCGTGTGTGTAGCTCAATAGCCGTACATGGACGTGGTGTGCAGTCTGCATCTCGGAGCTCTCCGCGACTCGCCCCGATCTCTCGCGCTCCACCCGCGACTGCAGGTCAACGACCGCCCCCCGGACGGGCACGCCGCCGTCGCCGCCGCCGACGCCGCCAGCACTCACATGATATCCGTGTGTGGTAGGTCGCGACGCGGGGTGGCTCCCTTTCCTCCCATACCCGGTTTCGGCCCGTGGCTCCAGCCGACACGGCGTCATGGGAACCTCTTCCTATAAGGCTGCTGCTGTCACACACAGAATCGCGTCCTATTCGCATTGCTTTCGCGTCCCATTTATAGTTCGATGGGCGTTCTGGGCAGAAATGTTTACTATTTTACTATGAGATTCTGGAAATTTTCATTTATTGTAGGAAGAATTTGCATTTTCCGAGCTTTTGAAGGATGCAGTACTCACCGTTGGTTAATGCCAACTTTATCCTAACAGTTATTTTTTGCCGCAAAAGCTCTGGCGATTTCTTTGTAGTCCTATATGGATGACTGTCGTATCAATAAACCTCTTACATGTACTGTTTTTCAGTTTCCACTCCCTACCATTCAAAATCCCCTGTCACAGGACATTTTTCAGCGTACCGTACACCTACCGTCCACCACTGAGGCCCTACAGTGGAATGAGTGCAATTTACGCTGCGAAATCCAGATTTTTCATTTTCGAACCTGTTTTTCGATAACCGCCTCTTATTTATATCCTTTCTGCGACAAAATTTTTTAGAGCCACTGCACCTTTGATTCAAACAATAGTCATTTCTTTCATCTCTGAAATATTTTCACTGCCTAGACTTTTAATTTGTTGGTGATAAGCAAATGAAACTATCAATGTAGGTTGAGAAGCTCATGTAAGCAATGAAAACCGCATTAATAACTTAAGTGTGAAATTTTTCGATAACTCGTGCCTTTTCCGTTTTTGAAACGCTGAAGTTTTTAAGATATTTCCTTTTTCTATAATTCCTGTTTTCGGGTAAAACAGGCTATTTCTAGATAAATGCTGCCTCGCATATTTAATCGACATGCACCTCGGTTTTGTTATTCTGAATTCAAAAACACAACGTAACGGACGTTTCTTTGCATCATAACCCGTCCTGACGATCAGCTGACTTTGTTTTTCAAAAAGCAACTCTCTTGTATACTTTCGTGAACTTTGATTTGTTATTCTCACTCTTGCGGCAGAGCGGGGCTCTAGAAAGCACCCGAGCACCCGGTGAGAGCGGGCGTTAATCTATCTCTCTCAAAAAATTAGTTTCTTTCTATTGGATTGTAGTTTTTTATAAGTGGCTTCTGGTAGATCACATCGTACATGGTGATCCGCAAATTTCGTCTCTATTTTTTTGAGAGAGCTTGTTTTTCAAAGTCCATTTCGATACTAGGTTTTGTGGGTCCTTTTGTTTTAGAGATCCAATATATAATCAGACTTACGCTACTCATCCGGCCCTGTTCTTTTTTTCCGGTTTTCTCGAATTCCCGTCATGTTTTCTTCATTTTCTCTCTCTCCCCCCCCCCCCCCCCCGTTACGTCGTCGTCTCAAATATATGCACTTAACATCAATAATGCCAAGCACACTTCTTTTCAGGCTTTCTCCTCTACCAACACTCTCTTCTCTTTTCTCCAACCATCCCATAATAAACACTATGCTGCACGGTCTCTACGGTTACATCTTCGGAGCTGAAGACTCCAACGATTCACAGGTAAATAAGGTACATCCCCGATCCTTAAATAGATCCCTTATCCACTATCCCAAATCATCATTTAGGCTTCCAATGACAGCGAAGCTTCCCTGTGTCCCCCGGGCAAAATGGCTGAAGACGATTGGTGTTTGGTCGATGGTGAGTTCGAGAGTTGTTTTCGATCTACTCGTCATTCCTTTCATGCCAATGGGGTGCTTTTACCATGGCGCAGATCGTTGACCATTAAGCAGGCTTTCTTCGTCTGAGTATAGCAATTAAATTATGCATTGCGGATGAGTGCGAGGCTTCACTGTGAATAAGCCTAATGAGGTCAGCTGGGGTAGCGAACCGCTGATGGTTGCACTTATTGGGAAATGGCATTGAACGAGATGGAGGGGGGGGGGTGGGGTTCGAAAATTGTGCGCAGTCAATGGCGGTCGCAGAATTTTCCTCCTTGGTTTGAAGTTGGAATTCGCAGAAAGAACGAGCTTAACCACGCTCCTGGCAAATTTTTTGCAATCTAGAAGTTTCATGTCTCAAAGGCTTCGAAATCCAATCTTCAGAAATTTCTGCTAAACTGATATTTCCACCGATAAAAGTTTTTGCGTGCTTAGGCGACGAAGGCGGGGGAAGGGCTACTTGCCATAGGTAGATATGTAGTTCATTCCTTCAGCGCCGAAACTTGCTCGTTCTTTGTGTATTTGCGTCCCTGACAACCGACATATGGGACGATGACTGATGATTTATTCTATGATTAAAAAATCGCTCGTGATTTTACCTGTTATAGATTTGAAAGTTGTTCGTCCAACTAGGTCAAGGTTTTGACTTAGTCTGCAAATGCACAGATTGGGACATAATACCCGGCAAGGCAAGGTCTCACTAATAGTGGTCCTCCGAATAACAATGATCTTCTTCTGCTCAGCAGTGACTGAAATCGTAACTGTACAAATTTGTTTTGTAAACAAACATCATCTTGTCTGGTATGACGTGCACTGTCAGCTGATCTGAAACGATCGCGCAGACTTGATTTGCGCATTGGGGGAGTTGGACTATGGTCAATGTTTGCTCTATTTGTAACCTTGAAAGCGCGTATTTTGACTCGAAAATGTTTATGTTGCGTCTGAAGCATTTCATTCGTTAATTTATAGATTTCGCAAAAAAAATTATGTACAATACCTATGGCATTGCAAGTACGTGATTTCAACAAATTGATTTTCAGAACTAATAATGGGCTTGAACAGATTTGACCGTATAAAAAATCATCTCCTAATTTGATAAAATTCTTCCAAATAATCCAGAGAGAAACAACCACCCTAGGAAACTAAAATAATCCAGTGAAATTTTAATCTGAACTGATGAAAGTGAATTTGCAACCCTATGTGGCGTATAATTCCGTACGTTAAATCTGGCTTTCGGAGAAATATGAGAAGAGTAGGATATCTACCGTGATTTCTGAATGATTTTGGTCTCCGCTTGTAGTTTTTGAAGAAGACTACTTTCTGTGGTTTCGTTTAGCCACAATAGTTGTCGAATCACATTAGGAGCTTAGCTCTATGATCTCTTCCGTACTCGCACATAATGCGCACTATCCCATGACTGTCGAGACGACCACATGCACGCGCGCTTTCGCGTATGCACGTGGTCGTTTCAATCATCGAACTTGTATCCGTCCGCCGCCGTTGTTTAGCTTCTGTATAACATTGACACTGTTGGAAAAACTGGCATGTATTGTGTGAGTGATGTATGGTAATCGCTTTGGCGCCGCGATAATGTCTAGATCGCGTCGCGATCACGTCGTGACATAAGGGTTCAATTAGTGCCGCTTGCGTGCGCACGCACAACGACGCTGGCGCAATCGAATAAATGGCAAAAATCACCAGTTTCATTCTTGCCGCACTCCATCAAACGTGTTTTTTATGTATACGATTCGAGGAATTGAGAAGGGTGCGGGAAAGGCAGAGAAATTGAACAAGCTATGTGAGAGAAAGCAAATACTCAAGAAGTTATTGTGCTGTGAATTTTTCGAAGCTCTGGGATTAGGTCTCTCTAACCAAAATAAGTTGGCGCAGTTTTGCTGGTGTCTGTCATGAACAAAATTATAATCTTTATTCTGTTGAGTTCTCTTGAAAAAAATTTTTTTCTTTGAAAAACGTTCATATCATTTTCATGGTTAAGAAAAATTAATAAATAAATAGAATTTTTTCCGCTGTTTTTCGAGTAAAATTTTCATTATTCAAGATTTTGCTATAAAAATATTTCTTTTACCATGTCATATTTACGCGGCGCTCCATCTCTACGTCTTTGCTTGCTCTGCTTGTCTGCATCAGTTAGGCATTAGCATAGTCTTGCGGAAGTACGGTCATATAGTAATCCAAAAAGGAAGAATAAGCGAATTATAGTGTAGCCATGCACATCTACCGTTGTTGATCGTTTTTTTGAGTAGGAAAATGAATCTCCTCCCAAATATGCTTTCTTTAACTACTTTGCCCCTTCCATTGATTCGCTCTGTACCGCAGTGGTTACTTGTTTACAGAACATCCAGCAGCTTGCGCATTGACCCGTATGTTCCCATTTTGCCTCTAATTGCGCTCCATTTCTCTAGCGAAGGTGAAATCCGCGCGTATTTCCATATGTTCCGACAACGAGGAAGTGGTTCGAAAGTGAATGGGAAGCGTTGGAACCAACATTGCTCGGGTATTTGAGTTACTCAGGGGTGAGGTAATGGACTACTAAGGTAGATGGTGGTGGTGTTGGTGGTAATAGTGATGATGGTGTGGGTGGTGTGGATATTGTGGATGATGTGGGCGGTGGTGATGGTATGGATGGTGGTGATGGTGTGGTTGGTGGGGATGGTGTGGGTGAAAGGTATAAATGAAGGTGGGGGTGTGGATGGTGGTGATGGTGTGGATGATGTGGATGGTGGGGATGGGAGGATGGTAGGGATGGTGGAGATGGTGTAGATGGTGTAGAATAGTAGGGATGGTAGGGGATGGTGTGGATGGGAGGCGGGGATGGTGACGAATATGGTGATGGTGTTGGAGATCAGGGTAAAGATGGTTTAGTTGGTGATGGATGTGGGATCAGGCTCTTGGAACCACAGTCCACTAAATTTTCAAATTGCATTATAAGATCATAGATCTCACTCTGTGAGAGAAGATTGTAGATCGATCCGTGCGTTTCTTATAACAAAGCGCAAGACTCGAGTATGTTCCCGTGTGCGGCTGTCGAGTAGTTGTATACGTATGACGCCTCAGCTGTTAACACGCGCTCGGATGCGCTGAACGCTAGCTGGTTTTCCCGTAAAGTTTCTGGCGTAGGAGTAATCTTCGCACATAAACATACTTCATCTTTGAAGTGGTCTTACGATCTTATCCTGACCGGATCTTGGCGCAAAATGGCATGAATGTAGAGAACTGGGAAAGAATTGAGGATTACCGTTCATGACTCTACTACTTGCTTGCCAAGGCTGAATCTAGGAAACCACTCATTTCTACACTTAAGACCACAATAGCAGTATACAGTTTTGATGAATCTTTGTTATTTTCAGATGCACCATCCGGTCGTAGCTCTCCCGAATTGGTTCCAAACCTCGAGCTACGCGACATCGACCAACTGTCGTTTGCGTCTAAAAAGGTAAGCGATATGGTATACGGCATTTATATGGCAACATTTTGTTACTCAAAACCGACTTTCGTATTGGGAGAAGTGGTGAAGCTTTTTTTTTGAAGTTTTCTAAAAAAAATTTTTTTCTTTTCGTGATTATTTTTTGATTCTGAGTTGGAACAGTATATTCTCATCTAGTTGGCGATTACGGCATTTTTTACCCGCAAATTTTTATGGCAATTTTCAAAATTTATAATACAATTTCTGTAATGATTAGCTCTTGAGATCAATGAGATCTGATCCTCTTTGAGTTTCCATACATTTTCCAATATCCAGCTCTTTCAAAAGCGTTTTTGGGAAGCTACAAAGATTATTACTTTTTCCAAGAAAATATTCTGTGAGTAGAATAGTGCGGAATAAGGTAAAGTTGGGCAAACTGTCAATATGGGCCTTCACCGAGACTCTTTTGATTTTGTTGCTAGTCGCAATTTCTTTCTGCAGGATGCAAAATTGGGTCTAAATTGCATTTCCTCCTCTCTCCTAAGTTTATTCGATCGTTTCAGTCTGCGCCAGCGCCAAGTGCCGAAGAGATTCGACGGAGTGAAGAGCTGCGGCAAGCGAAAGCGGCCACGGCACATCGACTGCAATTGGAGCGAGTGGTGAGTAGGGGCGAATACGAAGTGATGCTACCCCATAAGAGCCCCGCGGAGACGGCGGGTGCCCGCAGACTAGTCGTCTGGAGGTCGTCGTCGATATGTGCGTGCCTAGAAAATCGTTATTCTACGTGGTGGGAGAGCTCAAGAGGGCAGTTGCTAATGGGGCTGTCGACTTAGTAACAGATATGGAGCTATGGATCATGTGACGTTGGTAATGGTAAGGGTGGGGGTGAAATTAGCGTCAAAATGTTTTTCCCGAAATCTTGTGATCCGAAGATGTCTCCTTGGTTTTCTGTCGGTGCTTTGATTTCATGTATACCCGGAAGTTTTTGTTTACAATGGCATGTGCACTGTATAGCGTCCATTTTTGACTTTTTATGAACCTAAAGGATATCTGATCTGGAACTACATGAAAAGTAATATAGTTGGTCGAGAGAGAAAATGATCCAACTCTCAAACTTGAATTTCTTGATTTCAATTCAACGTCTTTTCGTAAAGTTTTAAATAACCATGTTTTTATGGTATGATACCAGAGCTATAAACATTAGATTACTGAGGTCTGAGCTCCCTAGACAGAACATAGAAATTGTGTAGCTGTCACGAGGTAGGGAGGTTACTCTCAGCGAGTGAAAAACATTCGTAGAACCTAGAACGTAAACATTGCACTTTTAGTACATTTTTGCCATTCGCTAGCCCAAATATTTTTGGCTCTGCGCCGGAATGCTTCAAGCCTAATTTTCCAATTGTTCTAGACGTAAAAGTGCATCAAAACATCCGCTGCACCTTCTCAACCCTCGATCATCTTGTATTCAGCCAGTATAGACAAGGTCTGGGAAGATTGGGGGCTTGAGAATGCTGTAATAGACGGTTGTTCTGGAGTGAGAGATCGCCAAAAAATCTAGTAGGTAAGATAGGCGCGTTAATCGGGGACCACTGCCAGAGTGTGGCTAGCTCCGCCCCTTTGACTAAGCCCGCCCCTTAGTCGAAATTTAGTGCGGAGCCGGTGGGATTTGCAGACTTATGAATGCCATTTGCTCAACTGAATGGCCTTTTGAGGTGTTCTTGAGATTCTCACGGGTTTCGTAGTCGAATTTGGGTTCAACGCAACCACTAGATAAGAAAGGGGAAAAACTATAAGTTCCGCTTCCTTGTAGCTTATCGAAACCAGCGACCTTTCGCTAATGATAAGCATACAGCCACGGCCAAGCACATTCGTCACGATTTCCGAGATTGGCAATAACAACATCAGCTGATTATACATCATGTTCAACCATAGCGGTCACACCTTAGCGAATGACCTGGTCCAGTTTTTTTTTTCTTGGTGTAAATCTTGTCGGAAGTGGTCACATGGCAGTATGGGGTAAAAGATTCGGTTCTGTTCTAGTTTTCGATGCGTTCGGCCCTTGGCGGAAGATATACGACTCGTACTCCGCCTAATAGTCCATTGTCCATTGGTGTTGCGTCATCCTGTCGGTGTCCTGTGTCCTGTTATTCGTTCATGGACAGCGTATGAGTATTGTCCGTGTCCGTAATTGCGACCATCCTGGTCATTAATTTCCTATGGCGTTTATACAACTAACTAAACTGGACGAGGTTGGAGGGACGAATAACACAAAGGATGGCAGAACCAGATCCACTACAGCAAGACCTGCTATATGGATCATTGGTTGGTCTCGTGCCGAACGAGTCCCTGTGGAAGAGAATAGCAAATTTCGTGGAACGGGGAGTACAGGAAGCGGGGGAGAGGAGAGGTGGAGAAATCTGCTTAGGGCACTGAAGTCACTTTTTGCACCACTACCGTATCCTAGCACAACGTCTGTATTATGGCGCAAAGTACCTGTTCTTTGAATGTTACTCATTTCGCGCGTAGAATTTGGTGTAGTGCATCAGTGTTTCACGGAAAGATACAGTAGAACGCTACTCTTTGGTTCAAGGGACAGAGAAGCACAATAACAGCGGCCTAGTCGTACACAGGCTGCCATTATATGCGCCATCTGCAATTACACAAAGCGGGAAGTATCGTACTCTTTTGTAAACCCTTCCTCAAGCTTCCACAGGCGGATTTCTTCGCTCCTCTCTATCGAAGTAAAAATGAGGGTTCTTCTGCCTTCCAGGTACCGCTTACTGAAGGGTTGTAGTAGAAATATCTGGCAAATTAAAAATCACTGAGTATTTTTTTTGTCTTTTTACAGTCGTCTTTTTCAGTTATTCTCCGATGCTGATACGCCGAATGCTCCGTTGCCGTTAACATCGCTCAAAGCGAAGAATTCGTTGGCTTCTGCGTCGAAATTGAAACGAGCAACGGCTGCTACACTCCAAAATAGTGAGCCGAAAACAAAAACTCGCTCGAAGAAAGCTGGAAAGATGTCGTCGGGACGTAATAACGATCGTAAAGTGAGTTGTTATTTTTGCAGATTTCATTAAAAATTTTCGCAGGCGAGGCACAAAAAAAGAAGAGTTTTATGCTACTCCCACATTTTATCTGCATTATACCCTGTAAATGAAAATAACAAGCTCAAAGCGTACATTAATATTTTTCGGTCCAGTAAATTGTTTTTCTACTAAACTCTTTGCAGATCACTGGATTCTTTTGAGTACTGAACGCTTTGCTTAGTTTTCTGGGTGATCTCTTGACTTTTGAAACGCTGAACACTTTTGAAAGTGTTCCCGAACTGCGTGTTTGGTAAACATCGCTTAAGTCGCTTGTTTCACTCGAAACACCAGAGACATCAGGTAGATCTGTGATCTTTATAGCCGATTGTAGTCTCTTAGATTAGCAAGAGCATTCCCCGAAAATCTTCAAAATATTTACGTAGCTGCGTTATTTCACTGTGTAATCTAAGTTTTTTTGGTTGAAAGTATGAAAACAATCACTCTTGGTTATCTCATCTGAAGTTTTTTGAAACTTTTTTCGCATTAGAGTACGAAGAACGAGAAACCAAAAAAAGATCCATGGAATCAAGAATAGAAAATCTTGAAAGATATACTTTCAGAATTTTGGAAGGGGTATGTCATTTGACTCAATGAAATCTGCTGCATGCTAAATTATAAAGAAAAGTTTTCTTAAATTCGTGTCATTTTTCTTGAAAAATGGAAATAAAAAATACAAAAAATATCAAGCGCAGGAATAGTCTGCTTTGTTTTATTGTAGTAAGTACAATAACGGATTACCCTTGTTTCACGCATATAAGGCGCGGGGGATTTTTTTTCCAAAATCGAACAGACAAGCCAAAGGACTTTACAACCAAAGGATCTATAACGTGCTGTGTATTGCTTGAGAGTATCGTGCGATGTAAGGATTTCTTTCCGGAGTACAGTGAAGCGGCTGAGCGGCTCGCTTGAAAATTGAAAAAGTGCGCCTTATACGCGTAAAATTAGAGTAAATACATTTTCTAGATAAGTTTGTAACAATCTGTTTTTAGCAATGAAAGTATACTACTAGAACTACTAGAAAATTTTTGAGGTATTTTGTAAAAAAAAACTGTTTGGGGTGCTGTTCGTATCAATAATTCTACTAGAAAAGACTTCGGACATTAAAATGTTTTTTTTGGTCTGCAAACGAAATCATGGGGCGTCTTGTCGGTAGAATTTTTTACTTACAAGGAAAGGAAGGTTGGTCGAAGTGGCCTTCTGAAATGGGATGTATCCTGCCTTGTAGAGCTTGGAACGCTGATTCCAAATCTACCTTTGCTATCTGCTGCGGGCTTCTGGGCGAGGAGTTATGAAGGTTTTTGTGAGTAAAAATCTGATTGCGAGAGTAGGCTAAAATCAGTTGTAACTTTTTTATAGGGCTTAAAATTGGTAGTCGGGTCACTCGGTGCAACAAGTATTCTTGTTTCAAATATACCAATTCGCTGCTGCCTCATTTGAACATTGGGAAAAGGTTACGACTGATTTTACCCTATTTTTGCATTCAGATTTTTATTCACAAGAACCTTAATAACTCCTTGCTCAGAAGCCCGCAGCAGATAGCAAAGTAGATTTGGAATCAGCGTTCCAAGCTCTACAAGCCAGTATATACCTTATTTCAAAAGGCCACTTCGACCAACCTTCCTTTCCTTGTCAGTTCTAGTGCCGGTTGAATTTTACTGTAGACTAATATTATAGATGATTATCTTTTGAACTCTCTAATCAAGCACTAGTTATCAAATTGTAGTTTCGCCTAATTTCAGGTGAACAACATCGACTGAACAGATTCCACCTCCATTCCACCGATCTACCAGCCTGAAACGGACCGACTCAGCAGCCAGTGTCTCCTTTACTTTAGCTTAATACATTTTTGTATAGTGTACGTATCAGTCTGTAAGCTTTCGTATAGCTTTTCTATTTGTTTTCTGTATGTAATGGGCTCTGTCAAGCAATTTAAGTGCTTTTTGTAGGGTTTCTAATTGTCTTCAACAACCCAACTTTTTTCATTCGCGTTTTGGGCGCTTTAGTACTGTAAGTAGCTGAATCATGTATATACGTAGAGTAATCCGGAATTCTCGTCTTGAAACTCTGGAAAATCTGTGGCCAACGTTCCCTTATGTGCCACTGCCAAAAATACTGTTCTTGAACAGAAAAACACTCCCACATTTCCACAAATCACATAGTCATCGTGGATTGACTCCTGCCGCTAATATCACGGCTTCTTCGCTGTAAATATCCCTATTTTTGTATTTTCTGTAGATAGTCAGGAGCTGTGCGCTCCCTCCTTATGCACTTAGCCTCGTCACATTGAAAAAGAAAATAAAAAACGACAGCAGCTGCCTCTTTGCAAGTCACGTTCTTGTTCTAGCATGTAGCTTTACCTCATCGTATAGTCGGCCGCCGGGCGGTACAGCACACCTACCGTAATCACATCTGTGCATTGTATATGTAAAAACACTCCACACTTATGTAAAGACTTTTTTCTCGTGTATGTATGGAAACGATGGAATAAATATCCATCGAATGTGTGTTGTGCAGAAGCAGTCTAAAAACTCCAAGGTTTCAAAGGCAGTCATGGTCGCTGCGCATCAATGTGCGGGATTGCAACTCGAAGTTATATTATGAAAGTGAGAAAAAAAACAATTTTTATCTAAATGGCCTTCTACCTTATCGTTAGTCCTCTCTTCAAATGTAAAAAAAAACATCGATAATGTCTTTATCGCTTGTTGTGAAGCGATAAAGATAGTAAAATAATAAAGGAAGTGGGGCTAGATTGATGTGATAAAAGAACCTTCACTGTGTTTCAGCCAGTAAATTTTGCTAGGTTTGCAACCCTAAATCTTGAGATGACATACTGGGTAAGTGCAAAATTGTTAGGGATTGAATGTCGAGTCGATTTCTGTCATTAGATCTCAGTCGATCATGTAATCCTTCTTAAGTCTGTACTGAATTGGTTTCCTTTGAACATATTATTATTCCTCTCCTATCAGTCAAATGTAGTTTGAACTGCGAATGTGCCAACTATTTTTTCTGGTGGTCATACTTGCATTCCTCATTTTCTTCGTACCTGCCATCGCATCATCACCTAATAAACTCTTTCGATAGTTGCTACTGTAGAGTTCATGACGGGCACAATCTGAAAATTGTAGTGACGGTTTCTCTCAGGAGGGTTTTGTTTGATTTTTTGGAAAGGAGGATGATAAATATGTGTGTTTCCAAATAGTTCGATGAAAATTGGCGCTTTGCGTAGAAGAAAAGGGAGAAACGGTATTATTTGTGATTTATGAGCGGATTCGTGATTGTTTTGTCTTTAAGTTTACTAGTAATCAAGGAAGGTCAGATCCATAATACAACTGCAAAATTCATGGATCCGCAGCTTTTACTTAGTAGGGAATAAAAACCAAATTAGAGTGCATTTGTGTATCAAATGAGTAAAAGCGCACCAACAATTTTGAGAAGAAAAAACCTCGAGAGCGAAAAAGAAAAAAATCTCCTCTGCTTGGAAGTCGAAAGAATCCGGGAAGGAGCATCCGACTAAAGTAAACTTTTCAAAATAAAGCTATGCAAATAGGCTAATGACAATATAACATACTGCAAGCGATTACAAAGAAATTGCGTATTTCGCATCTTGCGAGCATTTCGAGAATAGACAACTTTGTGCTGGAAATAGCTGTCAATCCTCGTTTATATTTGTCTCCTATTGTTCGTGGACGGAGCCAGCAAAATCTGACAGCTCTAACGGGGCCTAGTGCCCTGTGTCAAGGCGAAGTGTTCGCTTTTTTGTTGGTTGATATTCAATCACCTTCTTCTAAATTTCAATATTCATTTGCCTGGAGCTTTGAGTCTCTTTTGAACCTCATGGGCATACGGCGAATAGTTTCTAAGCTGCTGAAAGGATCAGGTACGTTACTTGCGCCACTTTGATGTAAAATATATATAAGCAGCGGAAGTAAAGATGAATATGGTAAAATTTGTAAAATTGCCTTGTTTTTCTCGTCTTCAGAGATTTTTCAATCAGCTTAGTTGAAATTTTGAATCGACTAGCAATGTTATGCTAAAAATTGCACACATTATTTCAGAATCATCAAAGAGGGACGGCAATGGATGGAAAGAGGGCGCGGATTCATCTGAATTAAAACCATTTACCGCAGGAAGGGTTACAAAAAGATTCAAAGCAACCGTAAGCAATTTACTCGGAATTGACCGTGTAAATACATTCAAACCTTGATTTTTATCTTATTGCGTAATGAATTAAAAGTCAAGAAAATGAGCAAAAATTAATTCACGAATTTCAAAATAAAAATGAGCTTGCAAGAACCTTGAATCTTATCAGAAAAAATTTGATAGGTTAGTGAAATTATCCGCTGTAGGTCGCTGATGAGCTGACCGTATCAAAAGGAACAAAAGTCAGAGCAATCTATCGTGAAGATAATTGGATCTATGTCCACGCATCGGATGGAAAGCGTGGATTTGTACCAGAATCGTATTGTCGACTGGATAACGGTTCGCCAAAGGGTAATTTCCAGCATCTGATATTAGTACTTCATAAAGTCTCCCTAAAGCCACTAGGAGTTGATTTTCGCCGTTTGGCAAACTAAATCAAAGAGAAGGCCACAAACAAGGCCTCACTGAAAGTTTGCGTTTATGAAATTCTTGAATTATCGCGAACTCCTTTACAGAAACAAACGATGAGATAATCTCACAATTGTAAGTTTAGCAGCGAATAACGTGAAAAATGCACGTTAGAATATGCCTCAAAAAATTTCTTGTGTTTGCATAAGCACGTTTTTAGTTGACTTGCTAATTTTTACACGTAAATAAAACAAGACAGATAGGACTTCTCAAAATTTGGCCAAAGTTATGTCTCTTTTTTGCTAGTATTAGATAAATACACCAAGCCACTCTGAGCCTCTTGTTATTTCTAAAAAGCATTACTTGCCATACGCAATGTCAGCTCAGAAATCCTCTGACATTAAAAGGATGGAAAGGATTTTTTGGGGAGGGGGATTTTTGAACAACTCTCAATTTCGATGACGATAATATTCTCTTTTTGCTGCTTATTCATATTGTACTTCCTATAATTCACCGATTTGCCTACATATTGTTTGGAAGGTTTTTTGAGTTTTTAATCCCTAGATTCACATGAGCTCAACTTATTGTTAGTAGAGCTCCGAATTTTTCTATGATTTGTTGTGATTGGAAATGTCGATTGTTGTTCTATCTCTTCTTTTCCAGCCGTACACCTAAAAGGAAACACCTCAAAAATACAGAAGAGAACTTCTAAAAGAGAAAATGAAGTGCAGACGACAGTAGTAAGTTTGGAGTACCTGGTTACACTTGCTACATTCTATGTCTTCTTATACATTCTAGATGAACGGCTACCTTCATGACGATCTGAACAAGTCCAGCTTGGAAAGATTCATCGACAGCCTTCCTGTAAGGAAAGACGAGGGACAGTCTTTTCAAATGGTATTTGAATATTTCTCAGAGTTGGCTGGGTTTCTTTTTACTTTCCGCATAATCTACAGGGTGTATCAAAATAGCCTTTCCGACACCAGTAACTCTCTTAACGATATTTTTCTTAGCTTCAAGAACCATTGGTATAGCGGGATCACCTTACAGTTAGATATACAGTACGAAGCGAATCTCCAATAATCCCTCTTTATTCTAAGATTCCTGTAGGACTTGCAGCATAGGCGCTAATGGACCGTTCACAAAAAAGTTAAAACTAAAAAGTTGTGTAGCAATTTTCGAATATGTTGTTTTCACGAGACAAATTTTCACTAGTTTTTTACTAGTTTTGAACGGTCAAGTCTTTTCTTGGGTTGCTGAACGAATGTTGCTGCGATTATATCGGCATAATTATAAAAAAAAGCCTTATGGTAAAGTACTAGTTTATTTGTAATCAGCGACCCCGCTCATCATAAAGTTTTCGGCTTGTTGAGTATTTATTCTGGGGCAATATGTAGCGATGCTCAAAACCACTTCAACGTTTCTACCGTAATCCTACAGTAGTGAAGAGCTATGCATACAGCAAGCGCAGATGCTCAAAAGAACTCCATGATTTGTAAGTCTGGTTATTCGTAAAGCGGATTATCCCGCAGAATCGTATAATTGCCCTTATTTGATCAGGGTTTTCTTTGAACGGAGTTTTCGAAATCTGCATTGGAGCAAACTGGTGGTAGTAGAGTGCCTAGTTTTTTTTTTTCAAAGAAAAACAGCAGAAAGCAAAGAAAACACGGAGAATTTTGCGCAAATCTGAAAAAGGACCTCATATTTTGAGGCTCTACCGTCGCAAAATCAAGATAGTACAACTGACAGGATATGGTCGCTGTACATTATTTGCTTTGTGCTAAAGTAACTGAGAGAATATAGAAGATATCTGCGTTAAGGCATGTAGTTTGCTATATTTTAGAGGGAACATGGCAAAGCACGAGTTCTTCATCGATACGAGGCAATGCGCGCAGACGACGTGAACGTTTGGATGAATGATGAGGTAAGTGTGTGTCAATTTTGAAAAGAAGGTAGTCGCATCATTACAAGATAATTATTCATCAAGCTATACCATAAAGTAAATTATCATTGTGAGAGAACATTCATGCACATTGGATAGGATAGATGGGATAGGGGATAGGATGGGATAGTCATTAGATAAGCAAGCTCTCAAAACTTTCACTTGAATGGGAATGTTTTCTTCGCTGCATCTATTTGTAAGAATAAAATTGTATAGGTTGTCGTCTTGAACACTGATGACCCGGAATGGACATATGTTTCTACAGAAGATCAACTCGAAGGATTTGTTCCAGCACAACATCTAGATTTTGGGTAGCCTTTGGTGTAAGCCCTCTCGTACGTTGCAAAAAAATCTGCTTAGGAAGAAAGTTACCGTCAAAGCGAGTAAAGTTCAAGAACATCGGCTAGTGGTCGAAGACTTTGATGGACGGCACGCTTTAGATATCTCCGTAGAACAGGGAGAGTGGGTTACGGTAGTTTCCGATGATGTAAGTTCTAAAAATTATTTGCAATACATCAATGATTCAATAGCATTGCAGCCTGAAGGATGGATGTGGGTGAAGCGAATGAGAGATGGTAGAGAAGGATTTCTACCGTCACGAATAGCCATTTTAGCAACGAACTTGTGATAATTCTATTCTTATTGTTTATTTGAGGGTTTTGATTCTGCCTTTATCAAGGTAAATATTTTATTTGTTTTCTCTCATTTTACTCAGTATATTCTCTTGGCGTTACTTACAAACGAACAAAAAACACGCAATTGCTTAGAAAGTGACCACAGGAATAGACCATCATGTAGTTTGGGTCTAACCTTTTGGACTAAATTGGTAAATGTAATGCTTCAAGCATTAGTGCTCCTGCGGACATCCTGCGGGCCAAGTTTAGCGAATTCTGGGGGCTCCCAGTATTGGGTCACTCCAGTGAAGTGGTCATTTTCAACAAGTTTAACTATATTTCAAAGGTGCTAGCTACCTTTTTTTGTAAAGGCTGCTGCATGACGAAGGCGCAGAAGTGCTATTAGTTGAGCGGGTGCCAACGCGGCACGCACGTATCCTCACCATAAATCCTGCGCCTCATGCGCTCTGCGGTTAATAAAGCCGAGATCGCGCCCAAAGATATTGCGCCTTCGTCATGCAGCAGCCTTTACTCACAAGGGAACGATCAAAATTGGAAGTGGCCAATCCCAGCAATCCGTATACTGTTGAATGACATATGGAGAGCTGGTTACATATCTGCCTTCGCTGTCTGCTTATCGGTCTCCCACACAAAGTTATGGTCCTCGATTCCGCCGTGGTGCCGCCACATGTTATAAATACTCGTTGCCCAGCCTTGGAAGGCAAGTTGGAAAGCGCAATGGTGAGGTGTATACTTGGGTAATTCGAAAATTTTTCATCGAATGAATGAATATCGAATAAATTTGAAAAGGAAAAATTCCTAATAAACGAATATCAAATAAATTCGAAAATACGAGTAAACGAATATCGAATAAATTCGAGGTGCAAAAATTCTTGAATGAATGAATTCCGAATAAATTCGGAATGTCAAAAATATAGAATGAGTGATTATCGAATATATTCGAACACTGGAAGTCGAATTTCGAATAAATATTCGAATGATTTATCGAATAACTAGAGCAACCAGAACTCAAACTTGCCGACATATCTGGCTGAACCCGACAGTAACCTCGTATCCCCTATACCAACTCCTAGCTCAGAATTTTCCAAAAATCGCTGAAATCGAGAGAATAGATTTCGGTTTTAGTCAGCATCCTCTACCCCCTGTACCGACTCCCAACCTCGTAGCTCAAGATTTTCCAAAAATCGACGAAATCGATAAAGTAAATTTTTATTCATAATCGGCACCCTCACTTACCCCCTTGTACCAACTCCCAGTCCCGCAGCTAGAATTCCTCCAAAAATCGATAAAGTAAGCTTTTATCCATAATCAGCACCCTCACTCACCCCCTTGGTGTGGTATAAGCTAGTCGTGGACGAAGGCATGTGATTTATTCCGCGAAGCGACACGAATGCCCCTATAGCCCCGGGCATACTGCAGGCATTTCAGTGGCGACGTGGTTTGGCAATAGTCAAATTGTCCAAAACTCATTCTAAAAGTACAGAATGCAGGGCATTTATCTTTTTAGTAAGTTGTACACGCTAAACATTTGAGGTAAGCTAGCGTTACATTTGAAGACATCTCATAACTGGCAAATCGCGTACGTCTAATCTAAACCGTCTAATCCTCCACTACAACTGCGATGTCCTTACTTATAATCAGGGTTGAGCAAGAGGTCAGGCGCAAGGCCGCCAAATACGACCCCCCATGGCCGTGCTAGATACGACCCCCCCCCCCCCCTTCCTCCCCCCCACCCCGTAGCTCGCAGGTTTTTCTCTGTGTAAGGGACCCGTCATACTTCGCCGAAAAAAGCCCAAAAGCGCCCAAAAAAGTCCGGAAAAGCAAAAAAAGCCCGGAAAAGCCCAAAAGCGCCAGAAAGAGCAGGAACGAACGCATAATGTTGGTTTCGCAACGAGCCTTTTTGCTCCATTTTCTGATGTCTGCACGTAAAAATAACGTTAAAATTCGACCATAATCTCGTTTCTGCTTTCCTGCTCTTTCGGGCTTTTTTGGGTTTTTCGGGCTTTTTTGAACGCTTTTGGGCTTGTTTTCAATTCTTATATCACACATCATTATCAGAACATATCCATATTTATTAAACAAAAGAAATTTCAGATGTACCTTTTACATTCAGAAAAAAACTTTTACATACAGAAAAAAAACTTTTACATAACGAAAAAAACATCTTTTACCGAAAAAAAACAACGCAACATTGACAAAAAAACATCTCTACTGGATGGTGACGCTTTGAGTGCAGGGCTGGTCCTTGCATCTTCATTTTAGGCTCATCGCTTTACAGTCTTCGCAGACCTAGTCCTTTGACCTTACGACTTTGAAGAAGTGGCTCTGAACAAAAAAAAATCTATGAGAAACTACCGGGTATAGAAGCGTACGAAAAAGGATGCTACCAAAACCTTGAGTAGCTTCTGCGCGTTAATTACTAAATGATTGCATTTTTAATTAAAGAATACCAGCAAAGTGGAGGAAAAAGATGTAAGCAAGTATCGATAGAGGATTAAAGGCAGCGTCCAGGCAGATCTGGACCTATGGGGCTTTTACGTGGAAAGTAATTTTGGGGCCCTAACTAAGGCACTGCCCAAGCGGCAGCTCAAGTAGTGCTGTAATGGCTGAGATATTCTCCTCGAAACTGGCCCCCGCGACCGTGTTTCGCATGGGTTCATGGCGCAGAGCGTGGATCCTGGCGCGAAACTGCCATGAATCCATGCGAACACGATCGCGGGGTCCAGTTTCGAGGGGAATATCTCAGCCGTTAGAGCACTACCTGCGCTGCCGCTTGGGCAGTGCCTTAGTTAGGGCCCCCATAGGTCCAGATCTGCCTGGACGCTGCCTTTAAATCAGATAGTTAGCCCGAGGGTAGAAAAAAGTATAAAAATAAAAAGCGAGGGAAGTGTTAGCATTGCAATCTGAGCAACAAGCGTACTCAACAGTCAAATGTGAAGTTGTGTCATTTAACAGAATTCAAAAAAATTTGCCTCCCAGTTTCATCAACGGGGCATACAATTTTCATGTCCTTGGTGATGATTCCATTTTCAAGGCAAACTTGGTAGTCAATCTGGAAAAATCTGGTTGAGAATTCGTTCTACTCTGAGCGGCGATTACACAACGCAGATTGTCATATTATGTAAATCGCCTATACCTTTGCTTTGCAGTACCTTCATTGCAAAAGTTAGGTCGAGGTAAGCCAAAGCAACGTACAAGGAGACAAATACAGAATCGAATGTCATGCTAACCTCTCCAAAATATGGAGCTTGATGTACAATACCAGTTCCTTGATCTGTGGTGACAAATGTATTGCAAAGCCGCGGAACGCATTCCTCTCCTTTTTCATGTATGTGAAGTAAGGAAATAGCGGCTCATAGCTTTTTCCTTCAAATGTGCGTCCCTTGACCTGTAGACAATCTTGCTCAGTCACAAAAATATGGCGCCTTACTATAGCTGTTACCTTCTCCAAAACCACAAGGTTGTCATTCTTCAGCTCACACAAGCGTTCTTCCATAACCACATACTCAGCATCAGTTGCAGGATCTAAACAAGAGAGATGCGTCAAGATCCAGCATGTGAGCATTTTTCTGATTACGCTTGTTCTGAATTAATGACGGATTTGGCGCAAAGTTCACGTTTTGTTGTTTTTGCAATTCACGCGATATGACGAGTAAGAGGATCTATGCTTTGCGCAAAATACGTTATAGGGCACAAGTTATAAATGATTATCATAATGTAAAACTTGAAACTGGTAAAAATCAAATTCATGGCAAAAGATACCTTTTACTATAAGATAGTCCAAGTCAGGATGTAAACACAATGCGAGGTTACTGGGAAGAGTCCAAGGAGTTGTAGTCCATGCCACCATTAGACGCTTCGGGTTTTCATCAAGTCGGAGCCCAATGCAGACTAAAACATGCACAGAACGGATACGGATTGCTGCTAGGAGAAAGCACCACGGATATTTGTTCGACGAGACAAATAAGAACCTACCAGCGGGATCCACAACATCTTTGTAATTCTGCCCAGCCTCAAAGTTCGAGAGAGGAGTAGTGCAAGAAGTAGAGTATGGCATCACCTTGAAATCGCGATTTACGATGAACATTTGAGCGCATTATCACCCACTTAATCTTATACTCGTATAAAGTTGAGATGATTTGATCTATGACTTACTTTTACGCCCCTGTAGACTAGTCCTTTTTTGAACAATTCGCTGAAAGCCCACCATACGCTTTCCATAAACCGAGGATAAAGAGTTTTGTAATCATTCTTGAAGTCAATCCAACGTCCCATGCGAGCAACAGTTGTCTCCCATTCCTGAAGTGAACATTTAAGCTTCCAAAGAGGCAACAAAAGGGTATGACACAAAGCTGCAAGCACTTAATACATCGCATAGACTAGTACTACAAATCGGCCCTGCCTGATAGGCGCTGAATCTTCAGGTTAGATGAGATCCATCAGTTACTAAGCTACGCTTGTCTTTCCCAAATAGACGACTCCCAAATGTTCGTTAAGACGAGAACTTAAGCTGAGTTCAAATGTTGACAGTGAGGTTCAGATCAAAAACATGATGGATTCGGAAGCACCAAACAATATGGATTCCGACAAAACTTTTCTGTAGATCTTCGCAAGCAAAGCCAAACATACATGAGAATACCGCATGACGATACTTCGACATTCTGCGTTATACTTTCCAATTCCCATTTCTAGTATGTCATTAGGTCCCTTGACACCCAAAGTTTTGTCGACTTCATACTCCTGTAAGAAAAACATTTATATTTAGATATAAAAACAAATTATATGCTGAGATACGTGACGATTTACTCACAACGGAGCCCATGCGTGTCCCATCCAAATCTGCGCTCGACATAGAAACCATTTTGATGTGCCCATCTTGTTACCACATCCTGGGTGACGTGTTTTCGTACAAAACTCAAAAATAGAAGAAAATAGATTATCATCATTACCTTAATGGTTCCAGCAAGAATGTGCCCGTAATGTGGAAGGCCGGTATCGAAAGGAGGACCATCGAAAAAGGTATATCGTGGTCTGTCGGCTGATAATCTGAACAGTAAACATAGAGCGATAAATAAGGTGTACTCAAGCTTATACTTCAAGACATACTTGAGGGATTTCTCAAAAACCTTATTCTCATTCCAGCACTTCAAAGTTTTCTGTTCCTCGGCAGGAAAGTTGATGTTATCTGGGACTGTGGTGAGCCCACTCATTGATTACCTGAAAAAAACTGAGTATTTGTTACGCGTTGTACACATAGATATGGATCCTGCGGAAGAGAGCAAGAGGGGCGATTTCTGCGGCTGTCACCAATTCATAACACCGAAAAAATGCATTTCCCAGCTGTTTGAAGAGCTCTAATGGCCTGAGTACTGCTTACAGAGACATCACTCAAGCAGCGCGAATTAGAGTCATTCTAACACATTCATGACAATACGACCTATCAGGGGGTCGTACGCGGACACATTGCACACCCAGGCAGGCAGAACAGAATCGGAACGTACAGATAGAACTATAGCGAACGAAAACTCCACGACTAGCTTAAAAAACCGCATCCATGCAAAAAAAATCCAAAAAATCCATGCATAATACAGGTCCTAGGTGTCCTCGGAAAGTGTAAACCGGCTCTATTTCAGTCGTACCTCCTGCAGAGGTTCGATAAGAACTCATAGATTGATAATGAACACTGCTAAAAGCACACCCGATTTCTCTTTGGTCCCATCAAGATTCCATAGTTTTGCTGTTCCATCCTCTCCAGCGGTGATTAGCACTGGTTCAACAGGGTGGAACTAAACAGAAACTGGTTGCATTCGGACCAGGCTAACACGAATTGAAGAAGAAGACTCAAGTGATATTTTTTACGGAACTGATAAGGGAAGAACGAACCTGCATAGCTCTAATTGAATCAAGATGTGAACGTAAAGTCATCTTTACATTCCACTTTGCTGTCCTTAGCGATTCTTCATCATCCTGAAAAACGAAAAGAAATTCGTAAAAGCGCGCAGTAAGAAACTTTTACAAAAGGGTCTTCATCACAGCTTGACCCACTATAAAGCAAATATGTTAGTCAAAGAGTAGTTTTACTAGGATAACTTTCGAACCAAGATAAGCAAAGGTCAAATAACAAGGCAATAAGCAAGTGAAGAGACAAAAATCACTGCGCAATACTTGCCTCCACTATGAAGTCATCTTTGATATCGATATTATCGTCCGGCACTACCTCCAGATGACTGCTCGTGAAGAAATTCGTCAAATTTCTCTAGTACATTAGCAGCCTCCGAATCAAGACCTCCTCGAGGGGCCTTGCGCTCATCGGACTCGGAGTCGCTGGAAAAAGAAAGTATGGAAAAAATAATAGGAAGAATGAACGTGGCGAGCTGGCGGCAGGGACGAAACAGTGGAACGACCGAGTCGAAAAATGCATTTTGGCGCGTTTTGCAACCCCGTGCAGAAACACTGCACGGGATGCGTATTACAGTAAGACGAATTTAATGGAGCAAAAGGCGACGATCGCCTTTAGTGGAAGAGGGGGATTAACCACTAACAACTTTTTGGAGAGATGATGAAATTGTATAAAATTTTGGGTATGGGGAGAGGAAGGATCAATCAACAGTTTGAGTGAGAAAGTGGAAAGTTTTGAGGTGTTTGAAGATAAGTTAATGGGGTCAGGCGCAACCCCTCAAAAGCTCAGGCGGCCTGAGCTTTTGAGGGGTTGCGCCTGACCCCATTAACTTCATCTCAAAGGCGACTTTTTTGAATAAGTCTGAAATGATTAGTTAGCACAAACATCGTAGATGTGATAGTAGGTGTGTGAAGTAGATTCGTCTTGTTTTGGCTTTCTAGCAGCTCATGCAGTAAATCCAGTCGAGGTGAAAAACGTGATTGTCGAAATTTTTATGGGGCTTATAGAACCATTACTTCAGAATGGTTCAAGACGAAATTGTTAGGGTGCATTAGTGAAGAGTAATACTTTGTAACAAGTGTGAAAAGTTGACTTTTGTGTTCGTTGAAATCAAGTTAATCATGCTTGAAAACAGCGCCTTCCATACTTTACAGAAGATGGAAAATTGTGATAGGAAATTATAAAAAGAGTCCACAAAGGGTTATTTTGCATCCTGATTACGAAAATAGCATCCACTTCGCTGGTATGAGCCCTGGTGGGGTTACGGTAGGTATACGGTAGTTGGATAGATCCTGTCAGATCAATCTAACTGTGCTGTTTTTGTACCTGTCCAATGCACTGACAACAAAATTTATTAGCAATCAACCATTATATAATCCTTGCTTCTGTCAGCCTCTATACTAGGATGAGAGAGATGAACTCCACTCGATGGCTCGGCATTGGAGAATCTCCTCGAGAGCATGGCTTCCATTCTTCCAGTGCCTAAAAAAGTACATTTTTGCGCACATGTCCAATCATATCTGCAATTATTCTACTAACCTGTATGGATTAGTCGCTTTCGTCTGACCACACACCTGCCTCCCCGTCCTCTTCAATCTCATCGCTCTCAGTTTCCGATGAATTTGGACTATCCAGCTGCTCGCGATGAAATGGTATGTATTCTGGCTCTGGTAGGAGCCTTTCCCACGGATTATGCCGTGGTTGCGGTTCTTCTGGCAGCGGAAACTGCAAAAAAATTTGTTCCATGGGAAAGTACTTCATGCTATCAACTCCTTCGTCTATCCATATAAGCGGGAGTGTGGGGTGCGTCAAGCCACCGAATTCGCTGTAGTGGTCTACCAATGTCTCCTGCTCACTGCAATTTCCACAACAGCACGCGATCTCTGCCGTGGTATTTTTGTGCAATTGCATTGCGCGAAAGGCCTGCGACCAATGTCTATATTTTCTGTCGGATCACCCACAAAACCAGAATGAATAAATATTTTATTTCGCATTCAGTGTTGATGTATTTGAATCTTTATTTTTCTTTACTAGCTCGAACTTCGCAAAAATCAAGCAATGAGTTTGTTATATATAAAATCATGATATTTGTAATCAAATCCTTTGTGCAGCCGTCCGAACACCTGCAAAGAGCAAATTAAGAAAAGAGTTCATTTTCTTGCACAATAACAATGTTCGTAACTTCCTCACCTTAGCTAAAATAACCGGAACTAAATAAAGGCAACGGTAATGAAGAGAGATGACTTTTCTTAGCACTGCACCTGGAAAAAAAAGTGCTGCATTTTATAGGTTTTGAACGATTTATGATTCTACCCCCCAAATACGACCCCCCCCGGTTCCACCCCTAATACGACCCCCCAGGTCAGGCGCGCCTGACCCCACGCTCAACCCTGCTTATAATACACCAATTCGCAAAAAATCTCTAAGGTAGCGAACAGAGGCAGCTGTGCAATATAACCTATGCGAGCAAGAGTGCTCACTAGTGTGGGCTTTGCGTACCACAAGCATGAGCAATGCAAAGAGAGAAAAATAGGCATTTCAAAACACTTTCAATATATGAACTCGGAACATGAGCTTGAGTTTGATAGCTTCTTTGCTGATTTGGTGCCAATAGCAAAGCGAACAATCTCCGATCGAAAAAGCATCAAAAATCCACATATGTTTTTCTCCTGTCAAGCAGTCGGAAGAATGCGACCCTCCACACAATTCAAAGGTCATGACGGTTGCAAAAGATGCATTACCGAGTTTTGCAAAAAAACGCGGACGAAGTGAGCTTGATACTCAGCAGTTGGCTCTGCAACAAAGTCGAATAATCTGGATACGGAGTTCATTCGAATACGAATTGGATAAACATTCGAATAAAACATTCGAATAAAATCCATTCGAACATTTTTTGATTATTCGAGTTTTCGAATAATATTCGAATCCTCGTTTTTTGATTATTTGAGTTTTCGAATTTTATTCGAAACTCTGTTTTGTGATTTTTCAATTATTCGAGTTTCTAATAATATTCGAAAATGGAAGAACTCCGAATATCGAATTTCGAATACGAATATATTCGAATGTTTTATTCGAATGATCGAATTCTATTCGATTCGGACCCAAGTATAGTAAGGTGCAGACTCGATGAGCCCCACTTTTGTTTGCGATGATGTCTTTCGCTTGCTACTCTTTTAATCTATACCCGATATCTGTAGAATTAGCGCGAAGTCCCTAACGAGGTTAAAAATGTAATACAATACCAAAGGCTGTGAACCTATATCGTCAAGCCAAAAAATAATAATCTATATTGTTAAGCCGAAGCATATATTCCGTTTATCAGTTTCAGCTTCTTTCTTGCTTCCGTTCGTTCTTCTATTTCTATTCATCGACGCTTTTATTCTTCTTTCACCATGATTATTCTCAAGAAGTTGGACTGATTAAAAAATTGAGTTTTTGAAGTCTTTAGATGTTGTGTTACCTTTTAAACACTTAGGGATTTCGCGCTAGCAACATAAATATTAGGGACGGGTTGCAAAAGAGTAGCAAGCAAAAGGAACCGAAATTGTAAAGGAAAACCGGTTTTAGTCCTATGAGTCTGCACAATTACAACTGCGCTATGGGCCAGTTTGTCAGCGGATCTGTGAAGAGTATTTATGACGCGCGGCGGCCCTACGGCGGAATCGAGGGCCATAACTTCGTGTAGGAGACCGATAAGCAGATACCGAAGGCGGATGTGTAACCAGCCCTCCATGGAGTGTTCAAAGGTCCGGCTTGCTGGGACTGGCCACTCCGAAATTTGACCATTCCCTTGTCATACAAAGCACTACTTTCTATTACTTCCTAGCAACAAAATACCGGTTTAACGCATCAAAGATTACGCACTCTTATCCTGCTGTATATATAGAAAGTTGCTTTAGATGAAAATAATTTCCGAACATGTCAAGCTAATTACAAGTTCGATGAGGTACCCATAACTTTTACGTATTGCTTATTGACGGATTTGAACTAGGCGTTACCGTTTTCGTGAAAAAACTTTTTTCGTATTTATTTTGTGCCATAAGGTATTTCTTCATGGTTTGACCTTGTTCTTGTAACAAACGTATTGCAAGGATCTGTCTTTGTTGTATCTGTACTATTTTTTGAGTGGTTGTACCAGCAGGTGTTTACATATGTCGCAGCTGTAATAAACAAATACATCACTTATTTTCTTTTTTCCTCAAGATTTTTTAATGCAAACATGATAAAGCAAATAGGAACTTTAGACATGATAGTAGTGTTGCTCACTCAGGTGTTACAAAGAGAGTACTGGCGCTATAGACAGCAAAGCAGCGGCAATTTTTGAATTATCGAAAAGGTGGTCACGCGAAGCAAGCTGGTCAGTAAATCAGTGTTTAAAATCATTTTGCGTATTCTTGCGGCCTAAGCCAAACCGTTCATGTTGTAAGTTATCCGTATCCAATCTTAGTTACACGAACCGGATTTTGTATTTCATTACGACGAATCAGACTATCCAAATATTCTCTCTCGCGTCATCCTTTCTTTTCAAAGCATTTGTATAATCCACTATACTAGTATGTAGAAAATTTATTACCAGGTGAAACTTGTGTTGATCGATGTATGCATACGCATGTACAAGTGTGGATCTCTCTTCAGTTATCTCAACAATACTGAGACAGATCAGATATGAATCATATGAGCCACAACTAGCAAATCGCACATGATAATGTAGTATATAACAAGGAATAATTGAGCTGGCTTGTGAGACAAACGCAAAGGCAGTATATGGAAATTGATTCTGGATGGAGTTAATGATTATTCGAGCAGAAAAAGCATCGAATTTTGGGACTTTCACAAACTGACCCTTCTCCTCTACCGGTCATAATACAACTTTCCCATGAAACGTGGCATGTAAGAGCAAAAATGCAATGGGCTCGTTCATAGTCCGTTAAAGGCAGCTTCTAGGCAAATCTGGACCTATTTGGCTCTCACATGAGATGTAATCTTGAGGCCCTAAATAAGACTCTGCCCAAGCGGCAGTTCAAGTAGTGCACTCTCGGCTAAGATATTGGACTCCAAACTATGCCCCGTGATTGTATTCGCATGGATTCATGGCTCGGCACATCAGTTTCGCATGGATCCTCGCGCGAAAGCGCCACGAATCCATGCGAATACGACCACGGGGCACAGTTTGGAGTCTAATATCTTAGCCGTGAGCGCACTATCTGAGCTCCCTCTTGGGCAGAGTCTTATTTAGGGCCTCAAGATTACTTTTCACCTGAGAGCCCCATAGATCCAGATTTGCCTGGACGCTGCATTTAAGTGCATTGAGTCTCAAACGACACATATGCAGATATTAGGAATGAGCTAAGCAATGCTTGTAGTGTCCGTTCTTACAATATATGCACAGGTTGTGCGGCACTGCTCGTACAAACGCTGCATGGACCCATATTCTGCAGACGTCCATTCGGTTAATTCCGCTTCAAATTCGTGGGGATTCATGTCGGCTGGGAGAAGCGGGTATTTGTACAAGCAGACTCCGAAGACGTTTCTCAATCTCTGGAGCGACGGCTATTGGCTCCATCTGCTTTTTTGTTTTGAATGGCTCGTCGTTTATTCTGCTCAACTCTTTGCAAGGAATCATTAGGTGTTATGCTGACATGGAATCGTTGGACTCACTCTTTCTAAAAGTATGGTCGTTAGATGAGGTTTGCTCTTTGACTATTAATTTCTGGCCGTGGCGGAGTCGTGTCTCGTCCTCTTCATAAAACACTTGTATTTTTGCGACAAGTCTCATTAGCTTGTCAAATTGTGGTTCGAGTGCATCTTGGAAGAATTTGATATCTTCAATTACTGTAATGCTTTTAAACAATCAAGGTGCTTTATCAACTAACTATCTTGACAGTTCTCCACAGCTCCAAGTTTTTCTTTATCGTTTAGAGGTTGCGCTGCCGTATCGCTGTAGAGACGAGTGGTTCTCCACCGTATAATAGCTGTTCCTATGCTTCGCTGCTGGCTTGTGATGGCTCCGCTGCTCTATCTGCTGGTGGGGTCTCTTGCAATGCTTCAAGGCCGTGTAGAGGTTCTCCCGTCGCTTTTCCGGACATGTCGATGTATATCATTATTGCATGCATGTGTTCGCAGCTCACAACAAACCTAGCCGCACTGACATGTGCATCTCAGCAAATATGGGCACATATCATATGCCCAACAGTGGAAATTCTCCCGAAAAAGAAGAATATATACGAAAGTTTAGTTTGAAAGAGACATCGCCAAGTGCGACTTCATAACGTACGACCTAAAACAAGAAAAACGAGCGAAAAGTGGGGAAACTTACACCTTGGGGCGGAGTCCTCCGAGCTGTCTGATTTCCTGCTACGCGGCAGGGTACGCATGCCGCCACAGTTAAAATGTAGGATCCCGCAACGACTTCTCGTCTCCGCCTTGGTGGAGACCGTCAAATTTCAAATTGTGCGGCTTTGGAAAACGTATGTTTTCGCCGTTTTCGCGCCTTTTAAGGTGGACTTTCGATCTAAAAATCGAGTCTGCCCGGACACTGCCTTTAACGGACTCGATCTGGGCGTGCTAAACTTTTCCGGTCCTGAATATGAAGCATATTCTTACTCGTTCACATTGTAACTGTACTTCTCATTATAATAAGAAAAAAGCTGCTATTTTTCCCGGCGCCTTGATTAATACGTCTACGAGATAGCCGGCGCTCGCATTCGACTTCTTTTGGAGGTATTCAGTTTTTAGCACTCCATGCCGTTCTGCGACCATTGTTGTGTTGAACGTGCCCCTTCGAGAAAATCCGGCCCATTCTTCAATCCTCTTTAAACGTCTTCATTGGTAAAATGGGTGATCTTGAATTACAAAAAATTCAGCCGAGGTATTAGCTCGTAAGGAAAGTTTCCGGGCACTTGCAAAAATTTTTTTCAAATCGCTGTAACTTCAAGCAAATTGATTTGTTTTTTGAAGCTACAAACTTCATTGCAAAGACAATTTTGTCCGCAACATATGTTCATCTGGCTTCTCAGCACCTCATTGCGGTCCACTAGCATGCGCAGAAGGGGAAAAGGTCGTCGCGAAAAGTGGCCTATTTGTGCAGGATTATCTCAGGCAGGATGAGAGCTGGAAAGCCCAGATGCTGTAGCTACATAGAGGTCCGCTGGGGCTGTTATGCGGATCATGTTTTTGGAGGATCACCTGCAAGAAAAATTCCCCTAGAAAGATTGAAAAATCGACCATTTTTTGCCCCAAAAATGCACCATTTTTCGAGTAAGTGACTTTAAAGTCGTCTAATGCTGCACAGAAAGGACCAAATCTTTGATTATTGGCAACATTGGTGGGGTTAATGCCTTGCACATCTTTCGGACCCTTTTGGATCATCCAGGCGTGGCCATCCCCGCAGAGGCGACGCTAGCTGCGAAAATAGTTGCAGTCAGAGGCAAGTTCGAGAGCTTGTATCTGAGCGCAAATCGAAAAACTCGAGTACATCTGCAATTCAAAAGTTAACAGGCTTTTCAATCAGATCACTCATGATTTGGACGAAGTTCTTTTGATTGCACAAAAAATGGCCGTAAAGAGAAAAATTTTGGAATTTTTGTGGTTGAAAAAATTTCTCTTCTTGATGTGCAGATCAAACACGTCTTTGCATCGATAAAAGTCAGAAGGCGTATTGAAAACCTCAGGCTTCCCTCTACTGCACAGTATAAAAACGTGGTGTCAAAGTCCGACTCAGCGCCGAAAAAGTGCGTTTGAAAATGAAATTTCCAAAGTGTCGGGAACTTTCTTTACAACCTACTATTTGCGATGCAGTTAGCCTACGTCTTTTCTGATCGAGAAAGCTCAGTACTTCAGATGGTTTTAAAAGTTTGATTTTTCTGATAGCGGGGCAACTCAGAAAGAGCTTTTTGCGAGAGACTCGCAGTCCAGCCTAATAACATGTACCTCACCCGATGAAGTATTCGCTCAAGGCATCACTCACCCTTACCAAATCTTTTGCCTTTCTTATGCAGAATTGCAGTATAGGAGGCGGCAAAACAGTAAGTTGGTCGCATTTACTAGAAACACCGCTTTGAACCCATTGTAAAAAGGTAGAGCCTTATCAGAAAGAAAGATTCTAGGGTTGAAGTCTGAGACTGCCCTCTTTACTTGTTCGAAAAGGATTTTGACTCACCCGCGCTCATTGTGTTTGATGGGAGAAACGCTGGAAATATCTGTTCTCTAAGCATTGCCAATGGAAGTTGTTTAGGATTGTCCAGGTTCGGCTATCTTCTAGCCTTGACATGGTGGATACTCGTAGTGGAACTGGCTGAACGAATTTCCAAGGTTGGCAACACTTCTTTACTCGCTAACGTTTCGGCGCTTTCGACTTCTTCAGAGCCTGCAAGCCCGAAATCGTATGCTTTCTCGCCCAGACGTCAACAAAAAACCAAAGTATCATCCGAAAACAAAGCTAATGTCAACAAAAAGTTCTTTACCTGCAAATTCCCGAACTTTCTTATCTGCGACCATCAAAGCGGCTAAGCTTAGATTATAACGGGTGATGCTAAAGGTGTCATCCAAACGACACCTCGGTGAGCTTAATCACTTAACCACTGCTCTCGCAGTGATTTGATAATTACTGAAAAAGCGTAAATTCGAAAAAAAAACAATAGGTTTATGCACAAACCAGCCATGAATCCGGCACCGCTTGCGTTTTGTGGAGTATACGAGAGCCGAATTCTGTCATCGTTGTTGTGCTCCTTCAATCGCTTTTTCAAAGATATTCTGTCACTGTCATCGACATCCTGGCCGCAGCTTGTGCCTTACTACAATATTGAAAAATATCCACGGTGGAATGGTTGTTGATCATGTTAAAAAGATACCATAAATCTTGTTTATTCATGTAGAAAGTTTTATTTTTCTGGATTACTGAGTTGTCGCAATTTTTTGAGAATGTAGTCAAATGTAAACTCTGACACAAGCGCGTTATTTTCAGAATATAGTCATTTACCGTACCTTCAATCATATTTTTCACATATTCTTCCTCTATAGATAAAAGCCTATGTAATGATGGATTAAGGTCACGCCCTACATGCCCAAAGCATGCCAAGACCGTGACGTCCCTGTCAATGTTCTCATTGACGTTCATGAGCTGAATAGTGCTTCGGGCCTGGAAGAGGCGACTCTTTCGCGATACCCGTCTATGCACTTCTCCAGCTCTATTACATCTAAACTTGTGATCTGATATGTCATCAATAAGTGTTGCGATTCAACTAACCTCAAACAAAGTCGTTGCCTTGATGTTGATCGGCAAAAAAGACGTCACGAACTTCTTACACGTCATCTCTCCTTCCTTAAAGGCACCGTCCACCCTAAACTGGGGGTCTCGAGCTTTGCGTAGCATATGATATTAGGGGGCCTCTTGAAGCGAATTTCAAGCCGCAGCGCAAAATGTCGCTTCGAAAGCGAGAAAATCGCTCCATGATAACCAAGATGCACGGGGACCCCTAGACAGCACCGCCCTCCCCATCCATGCCCACCCATCTGGGAGGCATACAAGTGTTACCCAAGCAGCCGCCTGGTGCCGCGGCCAGCCGCCAGAGCTGGCACCAGCGTCGCGGCTGAGCTACCGTAAGCGCGCTCTCGTCGTCCGCAACTTCTCGCAGAGAGATTTTCGGAGCAGCTTCGCACCTTATCGCGCTTAAAGGCAGAGTCCAGGCAGATCTGGATTCATGGGGGTTTTACGTGGAAAGTACTTTTGGGGCCCTAACTAAGGCACTGCCCAGACGGCTGGACCCCGCGATCGTATTCGCATATTCATGACAGTTTCGCGCCAGGACACACGCTTTGCGCCATGAATCCATGCGAAATACGATCGCGGGGGCCAGTTTCGAGGGGTATCTCAGCCGCTAGAGCACTACCTGAGGTGCCGGTTGGGCAGTGGCTTAGTTAGGGCCCCAAAATTACTATCCACATTATATCCCCATGTGTCCATACTTCCTAGACGCTGCCTTTAAGTGCGGGAATTCCTTCAGAGGTCGCGCTACTGCCACATTTCATATATCGATCAAGACAGCAGAAAATTTGTAGTTTATTAATAAGATACAATGCAAAAAATAAATATACAAAAACAAAAATAAGTTAAAAAAATTAATTGACGGAATAAATACGAAATTAAATTAAAAGCATAATATTAAGACAATTATACACCGTGGACGGTGTATAATTGTACTTTTTTTATTCCTGCTCAAATCGTAATGGGATTTAACTTGTGGACGCCGTCCTCAATCAGCGCTTTCGGCAATTTCAATGACTGTCTTATTTTTCCAGAAATTCAGCAGATTTGCAAAGAAGAACGTAGCAAAGGTGAGACCCTGAGACATCATATACAATTACACCCCCTACTCACTTATTTCGAGTTCTCCACAAAAGTGACAAATTTCAGCAGCTGAAGAGTAGAGCTGGCTTGTAGCAGTTAGCGGATTCTGAGATTGAGAAATTTTCGAAAAGATCGGTAACAAGCAAAAAATCAAAAATTACCTCCAACAGCGAAGGATTTTCTACCACTTAATTTGAGCAAGATGCTCAGAATGAAGATAGCTGAGAGTTAGACATTTGGAATCCTAGCTGTTCTACATCATTTCATCTTTTATACTATATGTGACACATTTTTCTAATATCTGACCTACGGTGCTAGATTTCTTCTTCTCCAAAGGTCACTACGAATTGTGCCAAAAAACTAATCAATGATCTTATATTTTTATGAACTTATTCCATGATATTATTTTTTTGAATTGATTTCATAAATATTTGTCAATTTATTATTTTTTTAATTTTGGTTTTTGTTATTCTTTGCTTTGTATCTTATTAAAAAACCACAATTTTTCTGCTTTCTTGATCTATACATGATATGTGGCTGTAGCGCCACTTCTGAGGGAATTCTCGCACCTCAGCGCGATGAGGTGCGAGGCTGCTGCGAAAATCTCTCTGCGAGAAGGTGTGGACGACGAGAGCGCGCTTACGGTAGCTCAGCCGCGACCTGCTGCCAGCTCTGGCGGCTGGCCGCGGCATCGGGCGGCTGCCTGGGTAACTCTTGCTACGCACCCCATCCATCCGTGAGCGCCCAGCCAACCACCGTCCCGGAATCGGCCTGCGGGTTCTCCGAACGGGAATTGTTCGGGTTTTCGCGGATTCTCGACTTCATATTCGGAATCAGGGACATGAGAAGGCTCCGGAACGATCCAAACGTGGGAGTCGAGAATCTGGTGGGCGGTGCCTTCAAGATCGTCTTTATTAGCTAGCTTTTGATTACAATTTTAGAGTCAAATGCCTCGAATTCCCTTTGGTTCCCAGAAAACGATCTTCGGCATCATCTCGGAATGTACTGCATTGCAATGATCTGCCAAAGCGTGATGGTCGGCAAGTGTGGTAGAACATAATGAACATTCGAGGATAGGCTTCGATCGCATTGAACGCAGTCTTCCATCGCAAGGCCGTGGAGATTTCTCAGATGAGCGCAAGGTTTTCTCAGCACCTCTTGGGACACAGGAAGCAAACGATTCTGGTTGATGACAACATATATTGTAAACAATATCAGAACTTATTTGGCGCTATCCCATTTCCGGCCGCAAGATTATGGAGCCATATATAGCTCAAACTTTCTTCATGGAAGTTTTAGACATGCTGATCATGGAACCGCACACGATTGACGCGGATAAGCGTTGCCATGAAGTTACGATAGGTATATTTTATGGCGCCAGGTCTCCGATTTTGCCAAACTATTTGGTAATGTAAAGACCATCATCTTTTTCACTATCGGACTTATTGTGGAAATGCATTGATTAGCATGTAATTAGCATCCAATTTCTCAAGTTCCATAACCTGGTTCTATAACATTGCAGGTGCAATACTGACTTCGTTCGTATCCACCGCTACCCCCTAAAATGGCCATAGCATACCTAGTAACCCCAGGACCAAAACTGAGCGAGATACAGACAAAGTCAGTTACGTTTCAGAACATTGTTGACGCCCTCCAAATACTACCAATTCCTACACGAAAGGAAGGACATTCTTTCGATCAAACAGGCGGATGTTTTTTTTTCAAACAAGAACAGACATACTAGAATGTATTGATGAAAATTGATATGAGATATCACAAATAATTGATGTTAGCCATATCTTGCACCCAAACTAAATTCTTGAAAAATACAGATTGGCAAGTTACTTTCACAAAGTACAGTAATCAGCGTGTACAGTGGTAGCGTTCGCGGGGCTACTTCTAATTACTCATAGCATAGATGAATTGACAGGCTCGACATATGAAGTAACACAGATAATCGTCGGGGCAGGCTACCATGCTAATTTTGGGCAAGCGTGCACCGAAAAAATAGTTCGTTGATTTCTTGAGGTCCGCGTGCAGATATTTGGAACAAGTGCGTCACCTCCGCTTCGCGGAGGTTCGCACTGGCTCTATCCGTATGCCTTATTCATGCTCCCAAACTGATGACTTTGAAACTCACCGCGCGAGGCTGTACATCATAAATGAATCGTAAACAACTGCTCATTCTTGAAGCATCTCCATGTAAGATCGGTAATTTTGAGAAGGAAAACTTTTTTGCCAAGGAATAAATACGAATTCGAACAGATTATTGAATTTATTTTGGCTTGATAATTGTTATAAAGATAATAGTCATTTTGGGCTACATTTCCATGCAAAAATCTTTTCAGATATTTATGTACAACCTTGTCAAATCGACTCTCTATGCGATCACTACTTTTTGGCGCTGTTTTCGCGGAAAAGCAAACTTTTTGAGCACTTTTTGAGCTAGAATTCTTGGAGCGCAGATTTGCTTGTCAGGCAAATCAGGACTTTGCAAAAAATTGAATTTGTGACCTAGTTTTGCGCGCCAAAAGCCAAGTGGACCCGTTTGAGGCGCAATTTTTGAAGGACCCGCTTATCGAACCGGCTCGTCCTTGTGCATGGTAGGCCTACAAGCTGGTACGGTATGCAATGCAAAATTGTAGCTCGATAGCTTTTCTGCAGCTGCCTCTATGAATTTCGTGACAGACAGACAAACACACACACGCATAAAAAGACAGACGTTTAGCGCTTTATTATAAGTCATGATAATGTGGGACAAATTTTGGACGAATGCTCGGAGGATGACCGTGGTTTTTCCACAAATTACTTGCGGCACAGCGGCCGCATTCTCGCGAACTTCCGCGAGAAAAATTGTTCAAGGCCGCACGGTCCTTTGTGAAGGACCGCACAACCCGTAGGTACCTTTCGAAAAAGTGCCCCAAACTCGGTAATCAAACCAACGATGACATTTCTGCCATATGGAGTGTTACCTTTGCTCGGCGTACGCCCGAAACTGTGTTGTAAGAAGAGTCAGGGCGCTCGCTGAAAGAAAGCATTTGACGAGCGCCTACAGAAAATCCTATATTGCTGCCCGCTGGCAGAACATGCGACAGTAAAGGAAGTACCGCTCGCTGAAGGTTCCACGCCCCAAAATTTTGCTGACCGCTTGCAGAAAAGCGCGTTTTGCGGACCGCCTGCCCCCGGCGATTATCTGAGCAGGTAGAGCCGTTCGAGAGTGATGGGACAATAAGAAAACCAACAAAGAATTGCAACCAAACATACAGAGAGAGCTCGCGAGGTCCTGATGACGGCTGATCTGGATCTGGATCAGCTATTGGTGCGTAACAGCAGATCTTTGGCTTTTCTCAACTTTATGAACTAGTTTGGATGTGTTGACAGTCGTGCCATCGCCTCCAGTTGTCTGGCTTTTTGGTGGCTGAAAATTTAATATACAAAGAATTGTAACGACATTTCAAAAAACATTAGATAATGGGAGCCGCGGTGCGGTCTCGAAGCGCGCGGATGCAAATGCACCTTTATAATGGTTCCCTACTCAGTTTTGCATTTAAAGAATTGGGCAGAAATAAACTCACAAGTGTCCGTAGTTGGAGCATCTTGTAAAAGCATTGGCAAATCGCCAACTTTGGCTCGTAAACAAAACGTATGCATGCAAAGGCAAAAATCCAAGGCCTCGGGCAGAGTTCACGCGATTTCATCGTCGCGATTCATCGCAACAAGACAACTGTAACAACACCATTGCATGTCGATCTTCTTGTATTTCGGTTGTG